TTCTCGCAATTGCGAGTTTTTATCTCGCAATTCTGACTTTATAACTCGCAATTGCGAGTTTATATCACGCAATTCGGAGAAAAAAAGTCAGAATTGTGAGTTTGTATCACGCAATTCTGAGAAAAAAAGTCAGAATTGTGAGATAAAAAGTCGAAATTACCTCTTTTATTTTTTATTCAGTGGCGGAAACGGGCTTCCATAGGAAGGACATGAGGGTGAGTAAATGAATTTTATTTTCTGGGTGAACGATCCCTTTAATAACTTGCTTAGAGCAGAAACGACTCTGGAGGTCTTGAAAAGTTACATATAAAATAAATAATTTTCACTTAGTCTTAAATTTCAAGCAACAGCACATAACACACAGGCAACGTTTATGCTGACACAGATCATCCATTTGACACCTGAATGTAGCATCTAGTAAAACATTGAATACCTATTGTAAATACAAAAACATGCAGTGAACGCCTAAAAACTAGTTTGTAAATAATTAGTATGAGGGTATGTAAGGTGATTGAAGCTTCACAAGTCTGCAACGTTAGAAAGAAAAACTTGCCCTGCACTAGAGTACACCAGCAGCTGAAAAACATAAAAGACATAATCTGTGGAGAGCCGCATGATATTCGCTGTCTGATTATGAATGAAGTCATTCCGCGCACGTTTTAGTGCAGTCAGCGTATTTGCTATTCCTCCTCAAATGCCAGAGACCAATACAAAAGGTCAAAGCTAAGAATAGCACCCTACAACACAAATTCAGCATAATTTTGCATTTAGGGACTAAAATAATACATGCTTAGCTTAAAAGCACACTTCATTAAATATAGAGACAAAAAGGGAAGATGCCACACTCTCTGTCTTTACTCATTAATAAAATGGGAAAGAAAGACAGAGAATAGCAGATGAGAACAGACAGATCTCCTATCTAAAAATAAAGCCCTGGGGACAAATTCAAACCCGTTCACAGAATCATGCTTTCAACATAATGGAGGCATCCAACCGTATTTCTTCAATAAAAAGAAGAACTGCTTTTACGGATGTGGTTTCTAAAGTCAGACAGAACAGCAATATGAACAGCTGAGGCCTATTCGACAATTAAATAAATATGTGGACATGAAAAATGATTTTATATTCTTACCTGAATATTATCTTAAAGTTTTCACTAAGAACACAATGTTTGCATTCCACTGCATCCTTTACCATGTTTTTCTATGTAAACATGCGATAGACATTGAGCTTGGTTCTCGCGCATGACACGTGGTTCAAAAAACGCGGGCTGGACATTGCTAGTTCATTAAATATTTTATATTCTTACCTGAATATTATCTTAGAGCTCACCTAACATGTGCAAACATGTAAATGTGCAATACCCAGCACTATTTATCCTCATATTTAATATATCCTGCCCCTTTCTTGTGTACATTATTGCATTCTTGTATATTTCTTCTTCTTATTATTATTATTATATCTGGAAGACTGGATGAGCAGTCTGAGATGCAGCGATGACATGGATGACTGGCATGACATGGATGCCATGACTGACCAATCAGAGTTAAGTATTTCAGAATGTAATAAAAGATAATAATAAAAGATATTACAACAGTCAAAAGCAGATAGAAACAGAAGAATACAGGTAAACAGCAGAACACAGCACTCTCATTATGAACTCATTATCTTTAGCACTAATGCAATTAAGAAGCTTATAAGCTTGGTAATTCAGACTGACATGCTAAATTAATTGCCAGTTTAAAAATTACTTTTAATTTTCATGCCACCTTGAAACACATTAATTCACTCATTCACTTATGAGCACGACATGGACTGCAGTGTAATGCAA